AACATTCAGATAGATCTAGTTAAAGTTAAAAGTCATAGTAAAGATAAGTGGAATGATAGAGCTGATAGTTTAGCGAAGAAGGGAACAATAAGTAGGAAAATTTTACAGGCCGAAAAAGTCAGTTGTAAAGAGATAGAGTACTGCCTAGAATGGAAAAACAGACGAACTAACATACCAGCCAGACTGTTTTGCAAGTTAGTAACGAATGCAAGAATAGAAGCAGAGTAGAAAGAAACAAGAGCAGTTAAAAGTTTAGAGCCAGAAGTGGAAATCACAATCTACAATTGGACTTATTTGTAGAAAAAGCTAAAGATGACTAAAAGAATACATTGAACAACAAGAAGAAGTAGTGCGAGAAGAAGTGCTTTCATTAAGTGCATAATAGATAAGCTTCCAACTTTGGAAGAACTTAACAGAAGAAGGCCTGATATATATACAACAGTAGAATGCCAAGTGTGCCAAGAAAAAGTAAAAGAAACACAAGAACATTTGGCAGCATGCAAGAGGCAAAAAAATCTCTGGAAGAGAATTCAAAAGGTAATCATTGCAACAGCATAGAAAAAATTAAAAGAAAAAAAAAGATCTAAATTCCCCCACATGTGTTATATATGGCACACTTTGAAAAAACAAAAACAGAAGAAGTCAAAATAAGAGAAGCATTAATAAAAGGCCTAATCCCAAAAGAAACACAAGATAAACTGGCACAGCTCTTAAATTCAAAATCAAGGCAGCAATTTGTAAATGCAGTAGCAATAACAGTCTGGGATACATTTTATGAACAAGTATGGAGAATACATTGTGCAAAAATTATCAAATGGGAGAAAAAGATTGGAATAACAGGTAAAATTAAAAGAAAAAAAAACAAAAAGCCGAAGAAACCAAAAAAATAAGAAAAAACAGATCAAGAAAGAATAGAAGGAAAAAAAGAAGAAATAAGAGAAAAAGGAAAGCAAGTTAAGAAGGAAGTAACGAAGACAATGTTGGGGCTTGTTATAGAAGAGAGAAAACCCTTCTATTATGGACTTTAAGTAGTCAGACAAGCAGCTTACTTCTGCTCGAAGTAATGCAGCAGATTGCACTTAGGTACCAATAAGGTGGTTGGGTAATGCTAGACCTAGATATTAGGGATATTTATGTAGTTACAAATGTAATTCCAAAAACTTAATAAAGTACTAGCATGTCTGCTTATATGTAAAAAAAAAAAAAAAAAAAAATTGCCATAACTTGGATGAAAAATGAAAGTGAAGCTTCATATACTTGGTTTCTACAAATATTTTGTACTAAAATTTATAATACTTATAGTTGTCTACCAGATGTTTTTATGTTAGACAAAGATTAGGTCTTAAGGAATGCCTCATCTAAAGTATTTTCTGAATCTAATAAGATGCTATATGTATGGCATATTTTAGAACAAAATTTAAAGCAAATTGTTATAAACTTTTTAAAACTGATGATGCTTATAAAGCATTTAAAAAAGAAGTTGTAGGCCTATGTTTTACAACAGTTGAAGAGCAAATTTCACAATCTTTAAATTCAGTCAAAAAAGCTGCAGATAAAGCTTATACATCAGAAAAAGTAGAGTTGTATATTCAGACATTAATGAAGAATTCAAAAATGTGAATTTTAGCTTATACTAAATGGTACTGTAATATAGGAATATTGTTTACTGAATGATGTAAATCATTTCATAGCACATTTAAAAGAGCTATTGAGACAGCTAATAATTTGAATAGCATCTTTTACCAAATTGATCAAACAATGCACTTATAACACCTAAAAGCATCTATGCATATAGACTTTAATAAAGTGACAGTTGACCTTTTTATCTGTTATAATTCTAAGCTTAGCAAACTTATTGGAAATATATCAATAAAGGCAATTAATAATATAAAAGAACATTACAAAAAATGACAAAACCAGATATATATGAAAATAATAGAACTTGTAAATACTCTAGTAAAATTAATTTTAAGCTTCCTTGTCTATATATAATTTCAAAAGATGGTCCAATTTCTTTGTTAATAATTGATAAAAGATGGTTTCTTAAAAGATCTAAAATTACAAAGCTTTTGCATCCTTCAAAGTTTTCTATTATTGATCTGAAGTTTTATAATACTTTTGTAAAAGCAAAAGAGAAATTTGAACAATTAGCAGACATTGCTACTAAAATAGAATTTATTACTAAACTTTGACAAATAACAGATATGTAATTACTTGTACCTGTTAAATTGCTACAAAAAGTGATACCAAAAAAAGGTCATCTTTCAAGTACTAAGTAAGGATTGCTTCTAACTGAACATCAAGACACTGTTACAAAAAAGAAAAAAAATGTATTGAACAATATCATCAAACTTAAAAACAAGCCTATTCAGCAACAGCTTATACTATTGAAACAATCTTTTATTTCTTGTTTATATTCTAAGCTATACAGGATCAACATTTCCAAATTTATGCACTAACATATTTCTGCATACTTTGATGTAGCTAATGATAGTAATTGTGGTTTTCATGCTATTGTTATATCAATTGGAAAACCTAAAGACTTTTGGCCAGATGTTTGAGAACATATTTATAATAAACTTTGTAGCCAGAAGTCTTATTATATTCAATTTTTTCTAAAAAAAAAAGAGTATGTTGAAATATTACAAGCAACATAGTGAAAATCTGGCTCTTGTAATAGTAATCATTAAATGTTTATGCTATCTTGTGGATATGTTATTGCCAATACCTTTTAATGACCTGTTCATTACTTTAGCAAGCTTATTTCTCTTACTTTTTTTCTTGACAACATACCATTGAACCAAAATACATCAATTACTTTTGCCTATATTTTTGAAAAACAGCATTTTATCATTATAAAACTTAAATCCAATGTGTCTGTTTCTTCTGTAGTAAAGGTTGAAAAGACATATGTACCAAACAAAGTAAGAGATGGAAGTTCTTGTTCTTAAATAGATTTACTCATTTTATAGAACAATATAGAAAAGAATATGAATGACCTGCGGGTCGATAGCGAAGTGGTTATGCTCCCAGGTCACTAATTGCAAGGTTGCCGGTTCAAGTTTAACAGGTGACGAAAAACTGAGTTAGGACTACAATTGTTGATTAACCACAGCAGGTGATGCTTTATGAAAATAGGAAGATCTTCGGTACCCAGATCCTTAAATGGTGACGGACCTGATATAAGAAGGCCGCGATGATTAGGGGGCTGAAGATAATAATAAAACAAAGGAATCCCCGATTAGGAATAGTCCTGGTGAAATTCCGGGGTAATAGAAACACAAATAATTAGTACATAGATAGTACTGTAAAATGTATAAAATAAAATGTAAAATGTAGGTGGGGTCCTGATAGAAGGTCCCGTGAACTTAAAAATTGAACTAATAAAATAGCCACCAACTGCGGCCCACTAGCGACCAGGCAGTGGGAATTAAAAAAAAAAAAAAAAAAAGAATATGAATATTTGCAAAAAGAAAATATAGGCAATGGTATTATTAATTTAACAGAATGTTAGAAAAGATTAGTATGTATTGTACACTAAAGTGTTTAATTAACTAATTGTAACAAAGATATGTAAAGACACTTAATTAAACTAATTACAACAGTTTTTTATATAATTGTATTATTACATAAACAGATACTACTTTTTAATATAAATTTATTATATGAATATAATAAATGTTCAAAATCTACCTTCTCTTTCATTATTAGTTATTTGAATATAAAAGTAATAAAAAATAGATTAAAAAGATATGCTTTTTAATTTGGCATGCGTTTTTTTAGGAACTTAAAATTTAAATTTTTTTTTGATAGTTTTTAGCTATTTATATAACTTAAAAGAATAAATTTGTAAGTAACTTGTATTCTATCTTAAATATTAAAATTTTGACATGAGAGTCCAAAGTATTGGTTATAATGTATTGATTAATATATTTACCTTTTACAACTAATTAATAAATAAACAACTAAACAAGAATAAATTAATGGTATTAAAGTTATAGTTACTTTTTTGATGCAGTTAGTTTATGATTTATATATAAATATCAATAATATATAACATTATATAAAAATCTTAATTATATTGATTTGATAAGGAACTGTGCATCCATTTGATTTAGTATATTGACCAAAACATCATAACTGTATGCTTTTACAAAAATTTAGAATTGAATATTTATAAGATTGTATCTAATTTAAATTGCATATACTATTATTAGTATGCATTATGCAATAAAAGAAATAAATTTTATATGCAAAATGAAAAGCTCCTATTTTGTTAATCACTAAATGCATTTATTTTAATATGTAATAATTGCATTGGCTGTTATTTTTATCTATCTGATATAACAAACATACATATATTAGTATCACATAATATTTAGTACAGAAAAAATTATATGATTAGTATATGTCCATAGACCTGGTGATAATTTTGGCAAATTTCAATAACATATAATATATAAAGTACTGCAATAAATTTTGCATTACTGATCAAATTGATACATATATAATCCAACCAATCTTATAGAAACATAATCATGCTTCTTACAAATTACATTTTACTGAAAGCTTATAAAATTATAGCATTTTTATAACTCAATGTACAATATTCTCAATAAATAAAATCTATAAATAATAGACTCATATTAAGATACCATGTCATAGTATAGAGCTCTAATTAATTCCAGTTAGTCAGACTGAGTTTTTCCAAACCTCAATCAAAGTCTTACTATTATTGAGCCTAGTTAAAATAGTTTAGTATAGTTTATTAGTACACAGTCTACTCTTATTATAACATAGTACTAGTGTTTGGACTGTAAAATTCAGTCTATTATAATGAATATTCACTATAATATTATATAAAAATTTTAATTTGTTCCAAACAATTGTTCTATTATAAGCAGTATCTACTATAATAGAACCTGTTATAATGAGGTTACAATATATTTTTGTACTACAAAGCATTTTTCACATACATCTTCTTTTGAATAAAACTTTTTACCTTGTATTTCATTAATTGTCTTGTATATACTTAGTATAATCTGTATTTAGTAAATTGTATATATTGTGCTATATAAAAATTTGGGATAGTTACATTAACTCCAATTTTTAGATTAATTATTATTGATATAAATTCTTTAAGTTAAATAATAAAATTATATATAATGTATATAATACAACAGTAAAAATAATATTTGAATCTGAATGTAATTTTAATATTAAAATACTTATAAATAGTTAATAAAAAAAATTTATAAAAGGTTTCTATCAATCTATTCAATTATTTATAGCACTTATTAAGAAATAAGAGATGTAATATTATATTGGGTGTTTATTTTTTAGCAACACAAATGTAGTTTAAAAATCTTTATTTTAGAAATTTTTTTCTGTAACTAAATTTCTTATTGTATTTTAAAGTTTTTACTATGATATTATATAAAATAAAAAAAAAGTTTATAATATAAGAATATTTAACAAATTAATATAAAATCTTATTCAAGTTCAAATAGATTTTATACAATAAAGAAAAAAAAACATCAAAAGTAATGTAGATAATTACTTGTACTAATTAATTTTTTTGGCCTTTGGCAATCAAAATAAGCAACTGTCAATAACTGAAATTTAAGTTTCTAATTTATTTTTTTTTTTCTTTGAAATGCCAAAGTAGAAACTTTATTAAGTAAAGAAGAATTATATTAAAAATTTCTAAACTACATTTGTGCTACTTATTTTAAGACATCCAATGTGACATTACATCTCTATTTCTTTTTTTATTTATTTATTTATTTTTTTTTTATTTTTTTTAAAAAGTGAGGCCTGGCCTCTATTTCTTTATTATCATTATATAAAATTTTTACAGTAAGTAAGTGAATACAATATTATGGAGAACTAGAGACTAAAGCTAATTTACTTTCAATCTAGACTTTGCTAAGAAGGTCCAGGACCTCCTAGTCTATATATATAATGTTTATTGTAGGTATGTTTTGATAAATAAAATTTAAAAGCTATTTGTTATATTTATTCTATATAGTGTCTATAGTAGATAAGGTTGGGCTCGAGAAGTTGGTAAGTTGGTTGAGGTTGTAGCATTTGGGTTTTGGTTATGGATATGTGGTATATTAGTACATCTATGTTTCTGTATTTGTTTATATATTTTTTTGAAGAGTTTATGATAAAAATATAATATATGTTAGTTATTGGCAAGGTTAGGTAGCTTTGTTATCAGGATAATATCTAAGGGTACTGAGTTGATTCTGATATTGCATTCAGTATATGCTATTGTTTCTGATAGAATTTGAAATTTGGTGTAAGTAATGTTTAGTGTGCTGGTTATGATTTGTTATAGAGATATGCTATTTGTTGAGCATATGATCCAATGATTATTGTCTTCAGTGTAGTTTTTGCATTATGGGCATGTTGGGCTTGAGTATATACTAGGATGTCTCTTATTCAAGTTTTTGTAAGTAGGTAGTTCATCTAGGAGTACTTTAATTTTGAAGGACTTTAGTTGTGACTTTTGAGAGTGTATGCTTTTTGCAGTAGGTTTGTCTTTGTAGCTTATAAATTGGGTTGTCATTTCCTAGTCAATTTGGTATTGTTTTTAGACTTGTATTCTGCTT